TTTTAAGCCGACAATCCCCAATATTATATCATTTTACTATTATTTTAACTTATCTATTATAGTTTATTATACTATAATGCTAGTTAGAGGATGAATTAATAGTATTATAAAAATTCGCGCCATTCGAATTTTGAGCAACTGAGTAAATGAAGACCCCCGATTTTAAATTTTTCCGTTTATCAGCTTATTGAGGTCAGTTTTTCATACAAATTTCGTCACCGTTTATCAGGGCATCAGTTAATCGAGGATATCTGTTAATCGGGGCAATACTTCGAACAAATTCGAGTGTGTGCCAAAAAATATCAGCTTATCAAGGATATCTGATTATCGAAGTTCCACTGTATTTCACTATTTATTTCTATTGACTCCTTATTTTAATCAATTTTTAGCAAAAGGAAATATTTCTAATTCGAAAAAAAAGAGCTATATTTCTTAGATCATTTTGCACTATTCCTCTTTATTGTCTAAGTAATGTTTTTGAAACTTACAGACATATTTTTAATAGCATTGTTAGTCAGATACTCGAGAGAATGAAATAAAAGCACCTTCAAATGCAATCACTTTAATGAGTACAGCGCCATCTTTATAAAAATAGTCAAAGTTCGATAAAATTGGTTCATGAACCCGGCCGACCCACTTTTCATACAAAGTGAGTCCAAACGTTTTTTAATAAAAGTAACGTGGATATTTCAGATAACATATTTAAAGCACAATCGATCTATTATTAAATACTTTATGGAAAAATCTTCGTAGAAAGTTTCATGTTAAATACAAAAAAACAAATCTTGCAATAATAGCTTTAATTTTCTTCAACAACTTAACATAAATATCAGCGTATATCTCTCATGTTTTTTGCATTATCAATATGATTTATAATTGTTGGAAAAGATAATAAATCTACAAAAATCTACAAATTTTTTCACATGCACAACTGCCCTTTTATTTCAAAAATAATAAAAAAAGATTTTAATTGTGAAACTTTTTATATTGAAATTTATGGTGTCGCTATAAATTTTCCTCTAAAATTTTCGCAACTTTATATAAAAAATGAAAGAAATAATTTATAACCAACGCATGGATGATACCTTGGAACAGGAGAACACAAAATAGCGTTTTAAAAAATGATAAATTATTTTTCATGGGAACGTGAGGGTAAACGATTTTAACTTGAGTTTTTATAAGAATAAAAATTTGTTTAAGTACATACCTGAATGAAATTTGAATGACTTAGAACTTTCGTTTGATGACAAGTTTTGAGAAATTAATGCTTTATCACTCACAACAGAGACTGAAAAAGGCAAGAACATAAATATTCACAGATTATTTTCCCATCGCAAATGATTGAAAAAATGGGACTTGTTAATGGCTTTGCAGATTTTATTCACTTCGAAGTTGCAATTCACAAGTTTTAAGTTCAATAGAAATATTTACGACACGCGCACACACAATTCACGCCAATTAAGCAATTTGAAAAGGCTACACCCTAACAATTTCAGAAACGATGATCTGTCTATAAAAAGTAATCCCTATTAATG